GAAATGGCAGCAGTTACTTGGGGGTTGTGTCTCAGTTGGAGTGGGACGGGCAGGGCGCTGTACCGTGAGCCCCAGAGAGAAGGAATGAACGTGGGTCGCTGTGGAAAAAGGGGGTGATGATGTCAGGAAAGGTATTGATGCAAGACTTCTGTTTCTTAACTCTTCCTCAGTCCAACGTACGCTACTCCCAAAGTGCTAGAGAAGGCTGGGCTAACCATGGACGATATCGACGTCTTTGAATTCCACGAAGCTTTTGCTGTAAGTATGCTGAACGCTAAGGATGCCTCTAACTGTAAAATGTCATTCCGTAGTCATCTGGTTCCGTGTTGGTGAAAGCACTTGTTAAGACCTTCACGAAACATAGATTGGTGTAACTCTACATTTATGTCTATAGGTAGGTACTGTATATATTTTAAATACTTAACACTTTTACATTGACACAATCCATGCGAAGGGTGGCTTATGTTGCTTGAAGTCACCAAAAGAATACAGATTCTTCTAAAATAATACGTAAAAAAAATAATAATCTTTCTTTCCCGAGACCCTTGTATGAAAGAAACCACTTCTGCGCATCATCTGCTAATTAAGCTGGGGATGTGTGTTACTGCGGTGAGGTGGCCTGTTAATCGGATGGCGTCTTTTTCTAGCTCAGGTTGAGCTAACACTGATTAACGGGGCAGATCCTGTAAAATGCTTTTTTCGGTTGGCTGTGCTCGTTTTGTGGCTGTAGCTGGTCTCAAGAGATCTCCTCTTTACTAGCACTGTCCGTAGGCTTTCCTTGAAGTCTGCTGTTTCTGTGTTAACTTTGCCTTCCTCTCCTTCCTTCCTGGGGAGGAATAACCCCCTGCACCAGTACAGGTTGGGGCTGACCTGCTGGAGAGCAGCTCTGTGGAAAGGGACCTGGGAGTCCTGGGGGACAACAGGATGCCCACGAGCCAGCAATGTGCCCTGGTGGCCAAGAAGGCCAGTGGCATCCTGGGGGGCATCAAGCAGAGTGTGGCCAGCAGGGCGAGGG